GAGGGGAAAAGTGGGGCTAGAGCAATGAGCAGTAATGAGGAAGGATGGCCTAGACAATAGGAATCAGAACCTGTGTTTAAAGAAGAGTGTATCACACATGAGGATTACATTTTCTCTCATACAACATGCACCTTTCTACTCAAAACTGGGGTGCATGTTTTATGTGGGGAAGCTGATTTTGTTCTTTGGGGTTGGAAGCACCCTGGTTTGATTTCTGCCCTGCAGTACATCAGCTGTGGTATTACTGTTGAAGCAACTGAGGGAGTTAACTTCATTGTTCTTCACTGTATAGGTGTTAACTATAGTTTCTTCTTTGTAATGGTCTTGATATTCCACTAATCAACCTAACCTATCCTAGGGCAAGTTTGTTGTTTGCTAGCTGCTCCTGGTCTCTCATTTCAGGGCTTCTTTAGCTGTTTAGCTCGGACTCTTTAACTTTTTACAAAATCATAGATGGAGACTAGTCTTCAGCAGCAGCTAGGAATTCAGGTTTAGTTATGTGTGAAAGGAAGGGCGAGTCATTTGAGATTAAGCTTTGTCCAAGGTCAATGAAGCCATGACTGTGAAAAAAAATCCCTTTTCTTTATTTTGAGTTTCAGAACACAAGGTGCATGTTATTTGGGAGTGCACTGTATGCACGAAAATACAGCAGTGACTTCAGCAAAGGAGATAGAGATTGGCAGGGCTACTGGCAGGGGTGGCACCAGCCTTTTCCTGGTGGAGGGGCTGAGGTTGGCTAGACAGAAAATTGAGGGGCTGTGCCTATACATCTTCTGGCCAAACATATTTATTTGGCCAGGCCAGGAGTGCCACACCTCTGCAGGCAGGAGTGGGGAGGGATCAGCTGTGTCGGGTAGATGGTGGCAGCCCAGAGTGGGGAGAGTGGGGGGCTTGGACAGGGGCAGCGCTGGAAGGGGTGGCTATGGTAGGGCTAAGGTGAATTTTGGGGTAGCTATAGCCCCCGCCCCAAGCCCCTTCCCTTAGTGCCGCCCCTGGTTACTGGACCTAACAATTGGGTCAGCATGCATTCGTTTGTACATTTAGGAACTGGGGGCATTTTATTATTGCTGGGGATTATTTTATGCATCTTTGAGAGGCAAGGATTTTTATGGATTATATGTTTTATTGGACCAACTGTATAGTTGAAGGGATATAGACAAGCTTTTGGGTACCAAGTACCCTTCCTCAAGTCTGAGAAAAAAGCAGACACAGTTTGAGCTAAATAGAAGATAGAATAAAAGTCTGTGTAAAACTCCCTATGTAGATAAAACAGGATAAAAGGGACATTATGAGGTAGCTAACAGACAAGATAAATGCAGTAGAAAAGGTAAATTGATTCATGGAAGAGTAAGACCATTCAAGAGGATCATTATCACCCATGGGGTGTAGAAAGATTATCAGGGATCAAACAGATAATAATGAGACATAAAGTCAATGTCTGTGTTTAGCCCTTGATTCTGTGTGTCCAGTAAGCGAAATATTTTTTCTTCCTAAGCCTGTTTTTTGAAAGTGTTTTCTAAATTTTCCTTGCGCATGGAGATTGTGAGGACATAAAGCAGGGGCAGGCAAAATATGACCCGCAGGCTGGATCCAGCCCCCCAGGTCATTCTATCTGGCCTATGAGACCCCTAAAAAATTTAGAAAATATTTATCTGCTCCTGGCTGCCTGTAAAAGACGACAGGAGCCAGGGGAAGTAGGCCCCAGGGGGAGCTGGCAGCAGGAGGCAGGAGCCCAGCCCCACCCCCCCCAGCCATTTCCTTGATTCCTGCCCCCGCCCTGCTCCAGCACCACATGGCTCCCAGCTGCACCACTGGACTGGGAAGCACGTGGCCTGTGCCAGGGTGTGTGCCCACGCGCACAGGCAGGGGCATTGTGTGTGTATGTATTCATAGGGTGAATCCCATATGCACACCCCACCATACACATGCACCCACACCCTCCTTCACACTGCCATACATGCAGACCCCCACACCCATTCCCACCAACACCCCACATATCCACATACACCTGCATGCTCCCTTACCTCACATACCCGCACACCCACATCTCCCCGCAAACCTATACCCCCCCACAGTATACAAGCTTAAGACTTCTTTTTAAGCTATTGTGTAATCACCTCTATGTATATTACTCAAACATATATAAACCAGGACAAAAATATTTTTTGAAATCAAATTAATGAATGTTTTAGATGTTCACTTTTTAGAATATAATTGGATATTTTTCTGGTTCTGAGATGGCAAAACCCCTTGCTGAAAGGAGTACTTCTGGGGGCAAGGGGAGGGACTTCTGGTGGCAAAGGTCAGGGGTTAGGGGGCAGGACTTCCAGTTACAAGATGGTGACCAGGGGGTGGGGCACCCGGCAAAGGGCGGGGCTACCCATGTGGCCCTCGACAACTTGCCAAAACTCAGTAAGCAGCCCTCCGCACAAAATAATTGCCTGCCCCTGGCGTAAAGGGAGTGTTTGTTCTATGAAAAGCGTTTTCTTACCCTGCTTGTTTGTCTCTTGTCCTTTATCTGTTTTTCTGCAATCGTTCATTTTGGCATGTCTTTTTTGTCTAGTTTCACCCATGTAGTTTTCATGATAATTTTTAGTGTAATGGATGGAGTATACCACATTCTGGGATAGACATGTATAGGAATTGTGGATTCTGATGGTTTCATTGTGAGGGGCATTGATTGTTGCAATGGTAGAAAGGATTTGACAGGTTTTGCATTTATTGTTAAGGCAGGGTTGTGTTCTATTTTGTGTCTGTTAGTCAGCAGGGATTTTGCTTCTGATGATGACTTGGCGGAGATAAGAGGGTTGCTTGAAAACCAGGAATTGCAGGGTGGAGGATTAGGAACATTTCCTTCAAAGTCAGATATTTTTTGAATATAGGCTGTAACTATTTGATGATCCTTTTTGTCAGTTCAAGTGTAGGATGGTAGGTGACAGTCAAGGGTGTTGCAGTTAGTGGGGGTTTCCTTTTTGTATTGTAGTAGGTTGCTGTTGTGGTATTTGGATGTCTTTTTTCAAACATACGGTCTGTTTCTGTGCTTGAGTGTCCTAACTGGATAAAAACAGTTTTCAAATTGTCAAGGTTTAGGTATTGTGCAGATTCTTCTCAGAGCATCTCAGCTCCTGATTGTAGATTATAGATTTTTTTTTCTGTTTGTTTGGTATGGTTGCTATCTTTGTGGATGTAAGTATTGGTTGGCTTTAGAATAATAAAATTGTAGAAAATGAGGGTTGGAAGAGACCTCAGGAGGTCATCTAGTCCAAACCCCTGCTCAAAGTAGGACCATCCCCAACTAGATCATCCCAGCCAAGGCTTTGTTTAGCTGGGTCTTAAAAACCTTCAAGAATGGAGATTCCACCACCACTCTGGGTAACCTATTCTAGTGTTTTACGTCCCTCCTAGTGAGAAAATTCTTCCTAATATCTAACCTAAACTTCCCTTACTGCAACCTGAGACCGTTGCTCCTTGTTCTGTCATCTGTCACCACTGAGAACAGCCTAGCTCCATCTGCTTTTGAACCACCCTTCAGGTAGTTGAAGGCTGCTATCAAATCCCCTATTAGTCTTCTCTTCTGCAGACTAAATAAGCCTAGTTCCCTTAGCCTTTCCTCATAAGTCATGTCCCCCTGCCCTCTCACCATTTTCATTACCCTCTGCTGGACTCTCTCCAATTTGTCCACATCCTCGCCTTTCGTGAGTGGGGGGGGGGGGGGAGGGGGGAGGCAAAACTGGACACAGTACTCCAGAAGTGGCCTCCCCAGTGCTGAATAGAGGGGAAAATCACTTCTCTTGACCTGCTGGCAACACTCCCACCAATGTAGCCCACTATGCTGTTAGCCTTGGCAACAAGGGCACACCGTTGGCTCATATTCAGCTTACTGTTCACTGTAAAACCCCAGGTTCTTTTCTGTAGAACCGCTGCCTAGCCAGTTGGTCTCAAGCCTGTAGGGGTGCATGGAATTGTTCTGTCCTAAGTGCAGGACTTTGCACTTGTCCTTGTTGAACCTCATAAGATTTCTTTTGGCCCAATCCTCCAATTTTTCTAAGTCACTCTGAATCTTAGCCCTACCCTCCAGCATATCTACTACTCCCTTCAGCTTGTTGTCATCTGCAGTCTTGATGAGGGTGCACTCTATGCCATCTCCCAGGTTGTTAATGAAGATAGTGAACAAAACTGGCCCTAGGACTGACCCCTGGGACACTCCACTTTATACCGGCTGCCAACTAGACATTGAGTCATTGATTACTACTCTCTAAGTCTGATGCTCCAGCCAGTTTTCTATCCACCTTACAGTCCTTTCATCCAGCCCATACTTCCTTAGCTTGCCTGCGAGAATGTTGGGGGAGACTGTATCAAAAGCCTTGCCAAAATCAAGTTATACCACATCCACTGCTCTCTCCACATTTACAGAACCAGTCATCTCATCATAGAAGGCAGTCAGGTTGGTCATTCATGACTTGTCCTTGGTGAATTCATGCTGACTGTTCCTGATCATCTTCTTCTCCTCCAAGTGCTTAATGGATTCCTTAAGGACCTGCTCCATGATTTTTCCAGTGACTGTGGTGAAGCTGACTGATCCGTAGTTCCCTAGACCTTCCTTTTTGGATTTAACTTTGTGGATGTAACCCATGGTGGCCCATGTGTTTTCTATATATAGTAGTTTGAAGGCTGTCATCCTGGATGTGGATTGAGGCATATTGAAAACTGATGTTAATGTAGGAGTATTCCAGGGAGAATTTGATTGAAGAGTAAGGTTGTCAAACCTGTGGTGGAAATCAGCAACTGAGTCCAGGCGTTCAGTCTAGACAATGAAAATATCATCTATGTATCACAGGTATAGTACAAGTTTAGTGGTGCGGTTTTCCAGAAAATTCTTCCTCCAGGTGGTTTATGAAGAGGCTGGTATATTGGAGTTCCATCTTTGTGCGCATAGTTTGTAGGAAGTGTCTGCTGTTGAAAATGAAGTTGTGTAACTTGTTCATTAATGTATTTTGTAGAGTGCAGTCTACTTTTGGAGGATCAATTTTTGGTCTGGGCTTCCCAAAAAGGGTTGATGCTGCCCAAGGAGTCCTTTACCATACAATATGCATACCTGAGATGCAGATCCCATTTACTGTCTGACACAAAGGAAACAAATTCCATGACAGTAAGTAAAAAACTCAACTTTCTTATACATAATACATTTAATATCCTTTATTCTATCTTCCCACCCCCACATAAATACATACTAACATGGTTTTCAGTTGGCAGTTCTATCTAACCTAATGCTTATTGATTATTTTCAAGGGCTATTATACTGTTCTCCAGGCTGCTTAACACACCAGGGGCCTGCAGGCTAGATTCCAGCTCTGGTGCCCTAGTCTCATGCTGCCTGACTCTCTGGAATGATGCAGAATGTAGGGCAGGGTGGCAGCTTAGAGACTGACAGGTTCAGAGAGGCATGAGGTTCCATAAGCAATAGTCTACTTCATCAGATGTCTTGAATAGACTTCAGACTAATGCCGCTAACCATCGCTCTACTCTATAAGGAGCCTTTGTATTGTAATTCAAGTAACTTCCTCTTTTGGGCCAGTAAGAGGCAGCTACAGGCAAGTCCTATTAAAGCAGGAAAAGAAAACAGAAAATTCTGTAAGAAAAATACTGAATTTTGTAGCACGTTCAAAAAATAATGGATTCCATGGCAATGGAATCATGGAGTTCACCAGGCCCCAACTGAGAAAAATAGGAGTGTTCATGCCTTTTTATAGATAATTAACAAATTGCCTGTCATGAATGATGGGGTGGGGGGGGCGGGGATGGAGTGCTGCTGCTCAGTGCCCCACAGTGCCGCCTCTCCACCTTCAGCTCTGTGAGACCCCCTGCATCCCCTCACACCCCATCACTCTCAGTGTGGTCCTGTGCACCCCCCATCCCCTGCCACTCCACCCCGCACCGCTGCCAGCTCCTAGAAACAGGGGGGAGGGGAGCTGGCCACATGACGGTGGCCAGAGACATGCGGCAGGATGCAACATGCCCCCGCTCCCTGCCTCTCCTCCCCCTCTCCTTCCTCCCTGCCACCTCCCCCTCTCTGCTGGCTGTTGTCAGGGCCGGGCAGTGGGCAGCAAGGGGGTTGCAGCAGCGGTGGCGGGGGTGATGGCCCTGGAAACCCCCCCTTCCCATTCCCGCTCCCTGCCTCCCTCCCTTCCTCCTGTCTTCCCCACTGTCTCTCCCTCCCTGCTGGCTGTTACTGGGTGTAGGGGCGGCATGGTGGCTCCCTTGGGCCCTCTGTCTATAATGCTCCAGTTCCTCTCAGCCAATCAGCATGTGCCCTCTTGGTGGTGAATGCACAGTTGGCCCAGAACATTACAGACAGACAGACAGACTAAGGCTTTTGTTATAGTAGAATGTTTTAGGTTCTGGAAATTCAGGCAGATGACACTGTATCCAGTTCATGCTACCAAGGTTATTTTAATGACTAGAACAAATTAGTCATCCAAATGTGCAGAAGGGCCCGCTGGCACCGCGCCACTCTCGGGGGTCTAGTGGGGTCCCTCCATCCCACTGAAGGAAGGGTCAGATAAGTGCCCCCCGCTACCCTGTCTCACACACTGGCAGTCCAGTCATGTGGCTCCCTGGGGGGCTGGGCCAAGTAGGAGCTGGGGGCGGGGGGGTGTGACCCTCCTCAGATCAACTCAGCTGCCTCCCTGAGGCAGATGACACTGTATCATCAGATGGTCGCAAAGGTTCCTTGTGTGTGGATGAGCTCTATCTGACTCAAGAAGTCTATGGACCGACAAGAGGCAAAGCACTGCTCGACCTGGTACTGGCAATGGGGGATGACTTAATCAGCAACCTAACGATTGAAGGGAAGCTGGGAGACAGCGACCATGATCTGATTACCTTCACCATCTGTCATAAAGCTGGCAAGTCAGTCAGCAAAGCAGAAGTCCTCAACTTCAGAAAAGCTGACTTTGACAAGCTCAAGAGGTTTGTTGATGAGGCCCTAAGGGACCTCGACCCAAAAGGGAGGGGGGTTCAGGAAGAGTGGTTACAAGGGAGCGATCCTGGAAGCTCAAGCAATGTCTATCCCATCTCAGAGGAAAGTTAGAAAAAGGGCACAGCAGCCCCCTTGGCTCTGCAGGGAACTAGTGGACCTCCTGCATCTAAAAAGAAAGACCTATAAAGGATGGAAGGCTGCGTCCACCCCAAAGGAGGAGTACTTTGCACTGGTCTGGACCTGTAGGGAGCTACCAGGAAAGCTAAGGCTGTGACTGAACTCCAACTGGCTACACATATGAAGGACAATAAAAGTCCTTTTTTAGATATGTGGGGAGCCAGAGGAAAAGCAAGGATAACATTGGGCTCCTGCTTCACCATATGGGTCAAATGACAGCCAACACCCAGGAAAAAGCCAACCTGCTTAATGGGTATTTTGCGTCGATCTTTCACCAGCCCCAAAGGACGGTCCTGCTCAGTACGGTATGGGACAGCCAGGGCGAAGGAGAATTGTTACCCTTCATCAATGTTGCCCATGTGAAGGAACACCTTAAGAGGCTGGTCACCTTCAAGTCAGCTGGCCCAGACAGCTTACACCCCAGGGTACTTAAGGAGCTGGCAAGCATCATAACTCTGCCACTGGCACAGATCTTTGAGAATTTGTGGTGCTCAGGCAAAGTGTCCAAAGATTGGAAGAAGGCCAATGTAGTGCCTATCTTCAAGAAAGGGAGGAAAGTAGATCCAGGGAACCGCAGGCCCATCAGCCTGACCTCTATCCTGGGGAAGATCTTGGAAAAAATCATCAAAGAGACCATTCTTGACAAACTGGCTGAAGGTAACTTCCTGAGGGATAGCCAGCATGGGTTTATCGCGGGTAGGTCAATCTCATCTCCTTCTATAACCAGGTGACATATTACCTGGACAAGGGAGAAGAGATAATGTCATATATCTTGATTTTAAAAAAGCTTTCAATCTTGTATCCCATGGTCATCTCATAGAAAAACTGGCCAACTGCAGCCTTGGCTACATCACAAACCACTGGCTGGGGAATTGGCTTCAAGGTCGGACCCAGAGAGTGGTAGTTGATGGAAGTCAATCATTGTGGTGTGCCATGACCAGTGGGGTCCCCCGAGTCTCTGTCCTTGGGCCTATACTCTTTAACATCTTTATTAATGATGTGGACTTTGGTATCAGAAGCGGACTGGCCAAATTCACTGATGACACCAAACTATAGGGTAAAGAGTCCACACCCCAGGACAGGATGGTGATCCAGGTTGACCTTGACAGGCTCGGAAAATGTGTGGACAAAAACCTGCCTTCAACACCAAAAAATACAAGGTACTCCATCTTGGGGGAAAAAACCCCAGAGCATGCTTATAGGCTCAGCAGCGCTACACTTGTTAACACTACGGCTGAAAGGGACTTGGGGGTCATGATTGACCACAAGATGAATATGAGTCACCAATGTGATGTTGCAGCCGGCCAAGCGAGCAAAGCTCTGGCTTGCATCCATAGACGCTTCTCTCCAAATCCCAGGATGTTATCCTCCCACTGTACTTGGCCTTGGTGAGGCCGCAGCTGGAGTACTGCATCCAGTTCCGGGCTCCACAATTCAAAAAGGATGTGGAGAAGCTTGAGAGAGTCCAGAGGAGAGCCATGCATATGATCAGAGGTCAGGAAAACAGGCCTTATGATGGGAGGCTGAGAGCTATGGGACTCTTCACCCTGGAAAAGTGCAGGCTCGGGG